TGGAGAAGTTAGATTGTGAGCGTCTTACTAGGTAGTAAAATAAAAACAGAACAGGTCCTGGAGTCAGACCAAACTGAATTCTAATCCTGCTTGTAGAGTCACCAGCTGTGGTATCTTGAACAATTTACTCTTAAATGGAGATGATAATGCTACCTGGATTAAATAAGGTCACGCATGAAAAGCACGAGCATAACCCTCACCTGTTAAAAAACCAAACCCGTTGCCATTGAGTTGATTCTGTTAGTAGGTGCTTAATAAATAATATGGTTCTTTAATAATACTATTAGTAACAGCAACTGCAAAAATCTAGTTCTGCTCCCATTTTTTAAATTCTCTGAACAACTTATCATAATACTTGGCATATTAGAAGTTCTTACTCAATGCTTGCTGAATGAATGATCACTAAATTAAATCCAACCTGAAAAGATACACAATAAAGCATAGACAAAGTAAATGCTTCCATCTATCTCAGTTTTTCTGATAAGCAGTTCCTAGGAAACAAGTTTTTTTTTTTTTTTTGCCTTTTTGGCTGTTTGAATACTTTAAGAGCAATATAATTTGATCCCATCCCAAGAGACAGATCTAACTTTCCATTCTGTTATTAAACTGTAAGATGGTAAAAATTAGGATGTTCAAATTTCTGTTCGTATGGATCCAAAAGATGCATATCCAGTTGGTAGAGCAAATGATTGTCAGGAGCTTAGGCAACAGATCAGCCTCAGGGCCCAATAATGCCACGTTTCTCAGGTGAGACTAGATGCTACCGCTTTCCCTCAGCCTCCGATTCCCTCCTTAAACTAGCAGGCTGGTTCCCACTTTCTGCCATCACGGATAATATTTCTGAGTTCCCCAGGGTGTGTCAACACTCATTTAGTCATCACTTCCTGTAAGACCAGGCACTGGGGTGAAATCAAACATGGAAGAAATTGCGAGTGAGTGACCTTGGACCTGCTTAGCTCTGCCATTAATAAGTTATGTGATCTGTGACATATCCTTTAACTGGCTCTCTTTTTTCTCCATTGTCAAAGGAGATGAAAAGTAAACTGTGACGAGCACAGGCTTTGCAGGCAAAAACATGTGGCTTTGTACTTTAGCTTCTCCACTTATGAGCCTTGTGAGTTTGCACTACTTACTTAACCACTTTCTATACCTCAGTTTTCTAATTCATGAAATGGGGAAAATAATGATAATATCATAGACTAGTTGAGAAGAGTTAATGAGATAATATATTAATATATTCATCAGAGCATAGAGATCATAGTATGTTCTTGTTACTATTATTATTAATAATAGTACAGGATTAGGGAGCCGAGATGGTACAGTGATTAAAGTGATCGACTGCTAACCTGAAGTCAGCAGTTCAAAACCACCAGAGGCTCTGTGGGAGAAAAGATGTGGCAGTCTGCTTCCCTAAAGATTTACAGCCTTGGAAACCTTATGGGATCATTAAGAGTTGGAATCAACTCCACAGCAGTGGGCTTGGGTTTCTTTTAGCATAAGATTATCCAGTGTCTTGCATGCCCACAATTATAAACTTCCATAAAGGGCCCACATTATAGTATAGATGACAGAGCTCTACAGCAATGAACTAGAGAACAAAAGCAGGAAATATAATTGAGATCTAAAAGAAATCAGAGGAGATAGATACTACCAAAATGTAAAATAGCAAAGCAAATTTCATGCTAGAACACTCAGAAACTTAGTAAACTTGCATTTAAATGAAGGTGAGTTATAATATAGAAACCACTTTATACATTTCCCCCAATATATGTAAACAAATTTTACTCTAAAATTTCAAAAATACACAATATTTTATTTCATGAAATTGGAATCAAAGTCTACCAATTAGACACACACTACTTCTGTCCCTTGAAATTTTATGTGGGGAAAAAAAAATGCCCATGCGCCTGATCTCCAGTTCAAAGCACATAGACACAGTAGCCAATTTAAACATGATGCTCTGTACAACTAGTCTGAGAGTTTCAGAATCTCAATTATTCTGGTAAGAAGTAACCCAAAGGGACAATGAGTGGCAGCAGAACTACACAGATTCTAGAAAGCTGAAATACATCATGAAGAAAAGGAATTTTGCTGCCAAAGAATAGGACCTACAAATATACATACCCTTACTTCTGTGAATTTGGTTTATAGAAACTGGAGAATTATCATTGTTTATAAAATAATGATTGGAATACAAAAGAAAGAAAAATCAGACAAAAAACAGGGCAAAGGGATGTTTACAAAAACACAAACAAAAAATGCTTCCTACCCATGACCTAATGTTCTTCCAACTCAGTACCTCAGAGACTGCAGAAGAAGAAAGAAGCTAAATTACATGAGAAATAAAAAATATTATGTACAAGAAATCAGAAGGCTATTATCACTCTATAACCTACTTGGTTCATAGGGAGAGAAGGCCACACATTTGTCACAGCACAAAAAAGAAGAAATAATAACCTAGTCATTTCAAAATTGGTTTTCCAAAATTTTTTTTTCCTAGAAAAGTGCATTATTTGCTGTTGAATTTGTTTTTCTTTTTATACAATTGAAATCAAATGACTAGGAATCAGGGTTATTAAACTCAAAAGTGACTATTTGTCTTGATTTCACCTAACTTTGAAATCACTATATTCATTTTTTTTCTCCCAAGGGTAGTGCTCTAAACTTAACCCTTTTCCTCCTATTTTTCTCTAAGGTATTGTATGTGTTCACTAATTTTCATTCACTAAGAATTTCAATTCCCTCCATTTCTGTTTCAACACTGGTGTCTAAATGTTACACTGTTAGATAGCAAGAAGCCCTGGTGGTATAGGGGTTAAGAGCTCTGGCTGCTAATCAAAAGGTTGGCAGTTCAACTCCACCAGCTACTTCTTAGAAACCCTGTGGGGCAGCTCTACTTTGTCCAATACGGTTGCAGTGAGTCAGAGTCAACTTGACAGCAACAGTTTTGATGGCTTTAGAGTCAGCAAGATGAGGAAGAAAGTGCTATGTATCTTATATAGAACACACGCGAACCATGTTAGTTCAGTGTTCGACATCTCACATCATGACTCCAGGGGCATGCTAGTCAGAGCCAAGAGTCATGCTAGGCTGGTAATAGATATTTTTAAGACATCAATGACACTTATAGCTAGCTTTTTTTTTTTTTTTTTTTAGCTACTCCTTTCATGTTTTCAAACCGAAATAATAACAGCAGTCGAATTTTATTGGGCTAACATCACAAAACTACAAAGAGTCTTTTATAATGTATAAAAGATGTATAATACACAATTTGCATAATGTATAAATCTTTATAAAGAGTTTAAATGTCTTCCCAAACAAAATACAACAACAAAAGAACTGATGTTTTAAAGATACAACCTAAAAGAAGCTAGAGAGAAGATGGCAGCCTGTCAGAACCCCAAAACACTTACTTTTCTTCTTGGTGTATGATTTACTTTAAATTAATTTATACTATTTCTTAAATTACAAAGCAAAGCTCTCAGGATCAAGGAAAATCAGAAAAAGAGAAAGTCGGCCATGCAGATTCCAGCATACGCCACATCGTTACTGAAATAAATTGTCGGTTGCAAGTCCCTGGGGAGAGAGAGGTAAACAAACCAAAGGCATTATTGCTTCCCTGAAAGTGGTCATAGTATTTCATCAGAATAAATTTCTTGGGATCACAATAGAGGGTCCTGGACGAGTGGGAGAAATTTGTAGAACAAAATTCAAATTCACAAAAAAAGACCAGACTTACTGGTCTGACAGAGACAGGAGGAACCCCTGATACTATGGGCCCTGGACACAATGCTAACTCAGAACTGAAGCCACTCCCCAAGTGTACTTTTCAGCCAAAGATTAGACAGGCCTATAAAACAGACAATAACCCATGTGATGAATGTGCTTCTTAGTTCAATCAATTATACTAGACCAAATGGGCAACTCCGGCCCAAAGGCAAGACGAGAAGGTAGTAAGGGACAGGAAAACTGGATGAATGGACCTGGGGAACCCAGAGTAGAAAGGGAAAGGGGGACAGTGCTGACAAATTGTGTGAATTGCAACCAATGTCACAAAACAATTTGTGTATAAATTTTTGAATAAAAACTAATTTGTACTGTAAACTTTCACTTAAAACACAACAAATTTTTTTTAAAGTTTCTCAAGATTTACAAATAGTGTTCTGTACAACTTTTATATTCACTTATACTATATAAATATTGCAACGCCATATTCTTCATATATACACAATTTTAAAAGTTATTTTACAGTTAGAAAACAACAAAATATTATTTCAAATTTATTGTGAAGCTAAAAAGAAATATTTATCCTAGTCAATACTCCTCTTAGTATAAACATATTATGAAACTTCCTAAAGACTGCTATTTCATGTTCTATATCAAAACAAATCGTACTCATACTCTAAATTAACTATGATCTATCATTTGTTTCAATATGAGTCTGTTTGAACTTGCAAGTCGTTCATGTTTAGTAATAGCAACAAAATAAGCTAAAAAAGAGAGAATAACCAGTTAACTCTCCATAGTGAACACATACAATACCTTAGAGAAAGACAGGAGGAAAAGGGTTAAGTTTAGAAAAGGGTTAAGCTACAATGTTGCCTCTGACAAACATTCCAATCCTAGAAACAAACTTGATCTAAAAAATAATATTTTTTAAAAAGTTAAAAAATAACATGTTAACATTTATGTGAAATGATAATTAACATAAAATCATTTACTAATATGATTATCATTATTATTTATTATTTACTTTCAAAACATTTCATCACTTTAATGATAATGTAATATTTTCTCATCTGAGGGTTGATAACATATCATAAGCTGAAAGGTGAACTTGAATGTGAACTTAAATAATTGCTGTTTCACTATAACTTGTTACAGTCATAAGGCATTTGACAGTTGACGTCTAAAACATCAGTGAGAATTGTGGCTTACAGAGACAAACGGCCGTCAACAAACATCACGGATTATTAACTTTAACAGTGTTTCAGACCCACCTCAAGCTCAAGGCCAGCAGTTTCTCCTTTGACTTTAGCAGTTCCCCAACTTTAAAGCTGGCATAGCCCAGGAAGCTTCGCTGAAAATAAGAGAGAATAGTTTTCATTAATTTCTGGAGTTCTTAATAATTTTGCTGTCACACCAATCACACAAAATTAGTATTTAGAACAATGAAATATTAAATCTATCAGCCTGACAAATATTTCATGTGAAGATACAACTAATAATATAACCACCCCATGGGGTGGGAATGAAGGGCGTAAAGCCTTCCTTTTCATCTAAAACAGCCAGGACTTTTCCACTAACTGTAATTTTCCATCCGTATAAAAACTAAAGTAAAAGGAACGACGATAAACTTTCAATATTTGCCAATGCTGTCGTTCTTCTTATTAGAATTCCTCAAATCACTGGCAGCAACAACTTTGTATTCCAGATATGAGCAAATCTGTTGGTAGGAGCTATTTTTATGTGGGACTCTGTACAAGTTATAAATAGAAATGCTATATTTCTCCTTGATCACAACAACATTTAAAAGCATTCGTTTCCTTTGTTATTTCTACACTAGCATGGGACAATTTCATTCCAGCACAAATAAAAAGAATGGTACTTATTCAGCTACATTTTCTAAAATTGCTTTTTTAACCTAAAATACTAGGCGTTGATTATCTATGACTATCTACTTTCTACACTCTTTGACTCATAATCTAAAGAATAAAATTCTAAATTGTTTTTTTCTTTACTTTTCCAGGATAAAACTCTTTCATCTCTTTTTAATATCCCTAGCTACTTCTGATTCAAAAGTCACAATATTACGGTATACATAAATAAGATTTCTCATTTCTCTGTCAAGGTCAAAGTGTAGACATGAAAATAGCAAAACCATATTATTACCTATGCTATTGCTACCTAACACCTTCTAATACTCTACAAGAGGTTAATATTACATCTTCCAGAACATTCTCTCTTCACAGGTCTGCTGCTGAGCTGTGCTAGAATGAGTGGCTGGACTTAAGGAGTATAAGGCTAATTATGCCAATTTTCAGGGGAAATTATACAGTTACTTCAGACATAAAAGGCTGAGTTGACACTGAGAGATTTTTGAACATAGGAAAGAAAAGCTTTAGGTCAGAATTTTCCTCCCTCTTTTCAAACTTCTGACTTAGAAGAGCTGGTTAAAAAGACTTAAAGGTAAGCACTCAAAATACAGTTCTAAAGAGGGAGACTCCTCTATGTAATTAATGATAAACTTAATTAGGTAACTTAAAATTCAAAGAAGGATTTAGACACCAAGTCCCCAAAGTCAGAAAAATGTGAGATTAAAATATTCCGTTGAAAACAACATTAGGTGAACGTAGAGAGCCTGGGGAAATAAACATACTCTGATGATAGGTTGATGGGTGAGAGCGGATGAAGGCAGAGAAGGACATATGAAAGCTGTATGAGCAAAGCCTGCAGAAGGTGATGCAGTGGTTAATCATCTGGCTGCTAATCAGAAGGTAGGCATTTTGAATCCACCAGTCACTCCTTGGAAACCCTACGGGCAGTTCTACTCTGTCCTATACGGTCGCTATGAGTCGGAATTGACTCGACGGGTAATGGGTTTTCTGCAAGGGGCAGCAGCAAGAGCCTAGGAGAGATCCAGCTGAGCAAAGAAAGGCATTTAATTGTCACCTCATCAGAGATGCCTTCTAGAACAGCCCTGTATAAAAGAGCACCCCCCATACACACTCTCTGTCATTCTCTACTCTTTACCCTGCTGTATTTTTCTCCATTGGCACTTTTCACCATGGGACAAAGTATATGTTTAATTGCTTATTCTGTTTGCCCATCTCAAAAAAAAATTGAGATTTGAAGATCCACATGGAATTTTGCTTTGTTTTCTGTTAAATCCCCACTGCCTAGCACACAGTAGACACTCAATAAATACTGACAATGAACGAAGGGTATCAACACTACCTTTCAAGTCAGTGTTCTAGTAGATATGGGAGAAATGCTTCTTTTACATATACTTATAAACTACTGTAATATACTTAAATGTGGGTAGATTTTTTTTTTTATTGCACTTCAGGTGAAGGCTTACAGAACAAATAGTTTCTCATGAAACAGTAGTACACATGTTGTTTTATGACATTGGTTAACAACCCCACAACATATCAACAC